CTATAAGGGGAGAGAACGAGTCTAGGAAAAAAAGTGTATTTAAAAAAGAATGAAATGATCAGAAAATTGGTTCTTCATGGCTGACTGGCTGTTCAACTGAAGAGAGGTCTCCTGAGACTCATCCAGATGGGGAGAGTGGGAAGCTGCAAGTAATGAGTAATGTTTGAACTGGTGGTGTGGTCGGCAGTGTTTAGTGTGTAGTGTGTGCAAATGACATGATCTCAAACCCATTTTGTACATTTTCTGTAGTGTACTCTGGGTAGTGGCAGAGTCAGAGTATTTTCATAGGGGTGGCTAAACTCATCTACTTCAGATTATTCTATGTGGTATAGCGCTGTACAGATGTTGGCTTATGTTGTTTGCTTATAGTTAAAATGTGTGTAATCTGAAATAAGGCCATGATCATTTGTGGATGTGCAGGCTTTTTTTTATTTCAGCAACATTTTGGCTTAAAAAATAAATTGACAAATTAATGGATTTAAATGTTTCTGTTGTAGCTCCTGCATAATGACAAGATTTTGTTGCTAAACCAATTACTGCTATTCATAATCGCATGACAGCTGTTGCTGATGACTATAGGGTTAACCATACATATCATGACCCCAACCATCCAACACCTTTCAACCACCTGCAGCTTCATCACACTCCTGCCATTTTCCAACAAATATAACTTGCACATATTTGACTGTAATGCATGATGTAATGCAAACATCATGGCGCTGCATATGGCTGCCTTGGTTGTACGGTCTCTCATATGTTTGTTGTTTTTCCACGTTTTCTCGGTCTTCTGCAACCCATCCCAGATTACCTTCACCAGAGAAGAGCTACTAATCATCAGACAACAAACTCTCAAACAGCTTTTCTCAAATTTTTGCTAATGCAAAAAGCTGTGTGGACATTCTGCAGGGAGGGGCAGCAGCTCTCTATGGGACTTGGAGAAAATGCAGACAGGACAAGGACTTTGGACACCGCTCCTGTCTCTTCATCTAGTGAATCTCTGCTCTCTAACCAACAAAATGGATGTACTTCTTCTCGTCAACCAGACTAATTCTGACTTGCTCTGCTGCTCTATGCTTCATGGAGACTCTGCTCAGTGACTCCATCTTGGACAGCGCAATAAAAATGCTGGGGTTCCAGGCATACAGTATCATGTAATGGAGTTATTTGGGAAAATGAGAGGAGGCAGAATCTGCTTCTACATTAGGTGCTTCTACATGAAGGTTGGTGTAAAGATGTCACAGTGTTATAAGGAACTTGTAACACAGATTTAGAGGCTCTCTTTATCAACTGCAAACCATTGTATTCTCCCAGATAATGCCTAACGCTATGTCCCCCGTGCAGTCTTCAATTTGTCTGATCACTGTGGGGTCCATCTCCTCTTAACGTATAGGCAGAAACTTAAAGGTGCCAAGCCTGTGGTCAAAACAGTGAATAGATGGACTGATCAAGCAAAGTCAGAGCTACAGGACACCACTCAGACTGTCAGCACAGGTGGCCCCCAGGGACGTGGGCTCTCCACACTGCTGTTTTCCCTCTACACAAATGACTGCACCTCAGACAACCCCTCTGTTAAACTCCTGAAGTTCACAGATGACACAACAGTCATCAGTCTCAGCCGAGATGGCAACAAGTCAGCCTATAGACGTGAGGTTGAATAGCTGGTCCTGTGGTGTGGATCTGAACAAAACAGGGGAGATGACAGTGGACTTCAGGAAGAGCACCCCCATCCCCTAAGTACTCAGCAACACTGTATCAGCAGTAGAGTCCTTCAAGTTCCTGGGCTCCACTATTTACCAGGACCTGAAGTGGTCATCCAACATCAGCACCATCATCAAGAAGGCACAGCTCAGGAAGTTCAGCCTGCCTCATGAGCTGCTGATACAGTTCTACAGAGGAATCACAAAGTCTTTTGTTTGCACATCCATCACTGCCTTGTTTGGCTCAGCAACCAAATAGGACAAGAACAGACAGCGGACAGTCAGGACTGCAGCAAGAATCATTGGTACCAGCATGCCCTCCATGGAGGACCTGTACACCTCACAGGTCAAAAGGACCCCTCACACACTGAACACAAAACAGTTTGAACTCCTTCCATCTGGATGACACTACAGGTCACTGTATGCCAAAACAACCAGACACAAGAACAGTTTCTTCCCCTGGGCTGTCACTCTGGTGAAAACTTAACCCATGACTGTATAATAGGACAACATCCCTCGGTGCAATATACTTTTGTATATATCTATCTGAAAACTCCATCTAAACTGTGTATATATTAAGTATTTATATTTTTATTTTTCTAATACACATTCCTTTTTCTTGTTTGCATACTCTTTTCCTTTTCCTGTTTTCTCAGTCTTGTTTGAACCTTGCCTTACAGAAGAACATTGTACATACACATTGAGAGCCATTGTACCAAAGTCAAATTCCTTGTGTGTCCAACACACTGGCCAATAAAGCTGATTCTAATTCTGATTCTGAAGTTGCATCAAGGCAGGATGGACAGTGAGATTAGCCATTTTTCATTCATGGAGCAACACAAACAATACACATGTAAACAGCAGTAACCCAACCATCCAAAACTGCTGCTCTGTCATGTATCAAACTATGATTAATTATCAAGTGCCACATTGAGATCATCATAACATCATACAGGACCATTCATCATCCATTAATTGAATATAATCTGCCAAACACTGACAACAACATGAATAACAGTCATAGCCATCATTTCCCACAGGACAGACTCCTGGCTCTCAGATTCTTCCCTTATATGTATGTCCCAACATGAAAATTAGTGCACAGTTTCAGTATTTTAAAACTCCTGTTAAAACAACATACATTGGTGAACACTGAGCTAAAACTATTTAACAGTTCGGTTGATTCATTTCGTCCGTAATGCTGCTTGTTAATTCTGTTTATTGGAGAAAATCCACTGCAGCCCCATTGGCTCATGGTTTGGTCCAGTCCAGTTCAACATCCTACTTGTTTCAGAGAAAGAGTGGCACAACTGAAATCAGACCACATCCAGCTTTGACAATGGCTGCTCACTAGTTCATTGCTCTCCCACGTATAGTCTGACTTCTCAATATATAGTTTACTATAAATATAAATCTATTATATGAAAAGCCAGTGCCTATTGCCTTGCATGATCAGTATGTGATCATGTTCAGACTACCAAGATGAACAATATTTACCCTCTGCTATCCAAATTCTGTGTGTACATGTAACCACTACATAGTGCACTCAATAATTTCATAATGGTATTTTTAAAAAGTAGTGTCCATGGCATGTGCATTACATTCTGCTAACAATTCCACAGTGCAATGTGCAACATTTTAAAGATACAAAAATGACTGATACTCTACAGCTGTTAGTGATAGATGCAAATTGATGATGATTAGTAAGTGTCTGAAATCTCATCGTACTGCTCACTCTTTGAATAAACGAGTGTGTCTATTGAGAGCAGTGAATGAGGGAGTTTTTGGACACAGATGGGTAGCACAAGCTGTGTTAAAAAGTGTCTCCAGTGGAGCTGGTAGGGGGTGAAATGTATATAGTTCAATCACATAACTAGAACAGAAGGATGGATCCATTGATTCATGTTCTGATCCTATAATCTGCATGTAGCGGCAGAGGTTCTGACCATTTTGCAGTTGTGCTACTGTGCAGTTTTAGTGAGCCTGTGCCCATTGCAGCCTGAGTTTCCTGTTATTAGCTGAAAGGAGTTGAAGCCATTGCGACTGATCTGGTCCATCTAGTTCCAGGATACATTCAGAGATGTTCTTCTACATACTGTACCACTACTGTAATATAGTTCTTACCAGGTTACCATCACCTTTCTGTCATCTGTTCTGGCCATCTCCCCCTGTCCATTCAAGCCACTCATGGGATGGTTTCCCCATAGTTCACTGTAAACTGGTGTGCCCCATCTGGTACCAACAATCATTACATATATGACCATATACAGTATCATATCACTTAGATCAGATTTCCTCCACTGTGATGTTTGGTCTGAACTGAACTTCTCGACCATGCCTGTATGCTTTCATCCACTGAGCTTCTGCCATTGATGATCTGATTGGCTAATTAGATATTTATATTAAAGAGCAGCCATAGTGGAAGAAGTACTTAGATCATAGCAATACAATAGTGTAAAAGTACTCGGTTACTTAAGTAAAAGAACAAAAGTATTAGCATCAAAATGTATTTGAAGTACCAAAAGTAAAACAGCTCATTATGCCGAATTGTACATTTCACATTAATGTGTATCAGATTTTTGGATTATAATCATTAATGTTATTGTGTACATCACATTAATGTAAAGGGGAGCTAATGTTAGCTACCCTGGGTACAGTACCTTATATGAGCCTTTGAAATGTAGTGAAGTCCAAATATGAAGTAGCAGAAAGTAAAAATATTCAAGTACAGTAGAAATGCTTAAGTATAGTACTTGAGTAAATATACTTAGTTACCTTAGCCAGTGATAAACAGCCATACATGTACAGTACAGTGTAGATAATTAAATCAATCACTGAGTGTATATTAATATTGTCATACAGTTTATGTGATCAAATATGTAAATAGTAACAGTGCCTAAATGGCAGTCTATGAAAATATTGAGAGTATGGGAATACTTTGTTTCACTTTGTATCATCGTCCAATAAAGAAAGGTCTTGGTTTACCGAGATGTCTTGTTGTGTATTGTGTGTGCTTTTAGGTGTGTGCGGATCACAGACACTGGCTTGGGCTACTTGTCTACCATGTCATCACTAAGGAGCCTGTATCTGCGCTGGTGCTGCCAGGTAACACAACAGACATAATGTACACTTGATTTTCTTGATGAGCATATGTTTATCATTAAGCAACCAAGATTCCAGGCAACTTGGAAATGTGTATGAACATTATTTGTGAAATGACAAGGAAGACATGCACATATCCTACAAGCTGTTTGCTGAGCACCTTTATGCTACTGACAGGATGAGCCTGTCATAATCTCATGACCTTGACTATAGCGTCACCTTAATTACAAACATTAAATTTTTACTATAAGAACAGCAAAACAGTCAGTACTGTATCTTATGTCCATATATTATGGACTACAATAAACACTGCAGCCTCTGGGGGTAAGTATTAGTATTGGTGCTAATTCTGCATTGTTAAAATGCAATTGTACCTGTCAGCTCTCAAAGAACCATGCCGGTGTGTTAGAGTTAATTTTAAGTTTTTTAATATGACTCATGTATTCCAACAATTGTGCTGACTATTATCACATGCATCTTTATTTTTCCATTAGCCAACTCTTGCAACTTGCTTATGTCCTGTAATCCATCTCAGTTAACGTCCATGATTATTGAGAGGTAGTGCAGTTTAAGCATAGAAAAGTCGGAAGAATGTTATTGCACAACATGTCCCACTGACTAAATTTAATGCAGCTGATAACTGTTATCACAACCTGTAAATGTGTTCAGACATCTAAAGATGATAATTGCACAAAAAAAAGAAAAAAGGTTCTGTTACAAAAGTGATCACATTTTGAAAACTATTTCACTCAAACAGTTACAATGATTAAGGTTTCTGGGCTGTAATTCAAATATTTAATTGGAACACTGTATGTGTGTGTGGTTCTGTGTGATTGCAGGTGCAAGATTTTGGACTGCAGCATTTGTTTGGAATGAGGAGTCTTCGCCTACTGTCTCTTGCAGGTATGATTTCTTGCTCTATCTTTCCTCTCACACAGTCCTTAAAATGTGACCTGTCTGTAATCTGTTCACACCGAGACATGTTTCAGATACAATACTATTAAGAACCTTGTTGTTTCAGTATACAATAGATAATGAGTAATACACAATAAATAAAAAAGCAGGAACATATGTATGGCAGAGGAGAATCTTAACTCAACAGTTCACTCAGTAATATGTGCATGTACATTTTCTCAGTGCTTGCAATTCATCTACTGAATTCATCTTAGCCATTCACACTGTTCATATGACAACACCATCATACAGTGAATGTGTTTTCATACAATTCTTGTAACACTGTGACTGGTCTTTAAATTAGCTCTTTTTACAAATCAACCAATTGAACCATGTTAGACTGTATCTAAGTGGATCATATGTATAACACCTTTGGGTGCTGCTCTAGAGCCCTATAGTGCCATCTAGTGCCCACTTTGTTGTTTTAGAACCAGGACCTAGAAGACTTCTGGTCATGATAGAGATGTCTCATCATTTCCAAATCAGACTATGATGGAATTTAGTAAGCTAACCTTTTTATTGTGGCCATTCACTTCCCCATTGTTGTTTACATTTGTCAACATACTCACAGGCCTTATTTTCAGCAGACAGGTCACATCAACATTTTGTGACCTCAGCTGAATTGAAAACTGAACAATAGGAAATGCAAATATTTTATATTTGCTCATAAAAAGTGGATACACTTTGGACTGTCAAAAATATAATTTGCAAATATTTTGAAAATCAAATCATCTTACAAGCAAAAAAAGTTTCATAATTCTAATGTCTAATGTTAGAACAAATGGAAAATCTTCAGTTTTGAACTGTTGGTTTGAAAAAACAAGACATATGAGGATCTCATGTTGGGCTTTTAATAATTGTAATGGGTATTTTTCACAATTCACAGACATTTTATTGACGAGTGATTAATCAATTAATAGAGCAAATCATTGCAAAGTAATTAGAAGACTTACTGATATTGAAAGTTTTAGAAATCCACTGCAGATATGCCTTGAGTCCTTACATCTAGAGCAGCACCGTAGCCCACAGCTGAGTGTTGTCCCCCCTGCTGTGTCCCTCCAGGCTGTCCCCTGCTGACCACCACTGGTTTGTCGGGCCTCATCCAGCTGCAGGAGCTGGAGGAGCTGGAGCTGACCAACTGCCCCGGAGCCACCACCGAGCTCTTCAAATACTATTCCCAGCACCTACCCCACTGCATGGTCATTGAGTAAGACCACTGACCCACCCCGCCGACCAACTGACTGAACGACCGCCATACTTCAACCTTCCTCCTCTTTACTCTTCCTCACTCTTTTCTTAAATACTAGCCAGGAGACTGAGCTGCTCCTACCGTACCACACCATTCCTCATTACCTGCCCCTACCCCTGCCCGTCTTCCTCCACACCCCATTGAGTAGACTGACCCACAGGCGGACAGAGAGGCAGGAACGATGGTGATGGCACATGCCAGACCCACAGGGTGATGGGATGGTTTTTGAGCTTCATTTAAGAAGATGCTGCAGTGAAGAGGCTTGGTGTGATGTCTTGTCTGACAGCAAGTTTCTTTGTCAGAATTGAAACAAGGCTTATGTTTATGGAGGAGAGCTTCTCTAAAGACTGTGGAGACAAATGGGTCCTGAAGAGAGTGATATATGCAGATAAACATGCAGCGTAAAACAGATAGGAAAGGGAAAAAAGACTTTTGTGTTTGAGCAGATATGGTGGAACTCACACATGCGCTCATACACTGTAAACATACTCACACATACACACTGTATATGGTAAGTGAAACAGATGTAAGTCCTCAAGACCATGAGTACTGACGTTTCTATTTCCATCATTCTGTATAATATAACTGCTGTTAATATTTTTCTCAGAAGGAATCAAAGGTTCTGTTTTCTGTTGTTTAGAGAGAGACACTATGCCAGCTGGAGAAACAGGAATCAGAGAGAACTACAGATCCAGCTCAGAAAGTGAATGACAGGGATGGGACATCTCTCTCTCTTTCTCTCCCTTCTCTCTCTCTCTCTCTCTTTCCTTTCTTTCTTCTGTGTGTGTGTGTCATGGACTCACAGGTTCCCATCTTTTTGGGATACCACCATCTTTTTCCATTTTTGTGTCTTATCAAAGATCAAAAAATGAGAAAATTTGAAAAACTGTTTACATTGTTTGTGTGTGTGTGTGTGTGTGTTGGAATTGCACGCTTGATTGTTCATTGTTTTACTTTTCCCACCCTCTCTTTTTCATTTTTTTGTACACATATTTGCTTTAAAAATCTGAAGGAGAAGCTGTTGTAAACTGTGAATGCTGTGCTTTTAAAGAGTGTGTTGCCAAGACAGCGCGACGTAAACGTAAACAAGCACTCAGTCTAATGGAAAGCACGGAGAGTTTCTGCTGAGAATAAAATGCTTTTTTCTCAGTTGCTGAACAGAACCATGAAAACAAGACGAATGAGGGGCTTACACTGACAGTGATGACTAATAATGAACTGCAGTTAACAGGGGGAGTTTTAAAGTAATCCTTGTGTTGGAGAGGTAGTTTTGTCCAAACAGGGCGTACATTAGGTTTTGGACTCAAACCTCTTATTTCTTTCCATGGTTTAAATGCTGATAGAACCACATAATGTTTAGTGTTTTGAATTTGAGCTTGTGTGGTTCTGGAGAAGCATTGTGTGACACCCCGCCACCTCCCTCGCTCCCTGGGTTCAGTGAGGTTACTTCAGAGGTAAAAAGGGAAGCTAGGGGATGTCAGTATTAAATATCTGAGTAGTTCCTACAGTGTCTGCTACAGGCCAGGGTCAGAAATAAACAGCAGCTCAGGGCTCTTGAAGTGTGGCAGTTTATGAGAGCTAATTTACCTTGTGGAAATTTTACAATTTTCCCACTAACCCAGAGTCACAGAAACTTATGATGACTTAACTGCTTATTGCTTCTGCTGCTTCAACCTGTTAACACATTTAGTTTCTTCACTTGTCATATATTTTAAATGTACCAACATTTGTGTTTTTGAAATCTCTTTTCTATTTACAATGTACAACGTTTTGCTCAGTCTGCTTTGGTTTGGTGAGTCTGGAGATAAGCAGTCGGTTCAGGGTTAAACTAATGTACAGGAACACTGCATTGTTCCAAAGAACAGAGAACAGTGTGAAGTATTAAAGATTTTAGTATAAACCTAACCTTAAAAGGTTGTTGGGGCCTAATGCAGCATGTGCCGCTTTAACCTAAATCTAAATGTCATTTTAACTAGATGGAATCTGTTGTGGGCTGTAAACTGTCAGTCTCAATCCAGGATCTTAAAGGATTGTTCTGGTTTATTTCTTATTTTTGCTGCTCTGGCCATTGGTTTTATTCATAATAAACCACAATGTTAAAAGCTGTGATCTGGGAATTCTGCAACATTGCTATAACTAAATACAACAGACATGATCAGAGCTCCGTCAGGCTTTTTTGGAAGAAAATGTGAAGGTGCATCATAGAATTACTGATCAAACCCCAGCTCATACATTATCTTCCTTAAACCTTAGATTCTCATACATATACAAACTGAATTTTACAGTCAGTGTGCCTATGTGCTGCTAAACTGAAAGTTTGTCTGACTCTGGGTAAGAAGGAAGAAAGTAAGAAAGGAAAAAATTTATTTAACAAGAAAGCAGGTTACTAATGTTACCAAGGAAAAGCTAAGAACTTTAGGCTGGAGCTGTTTCCCTCTGCTACCATCTTATATTAAAAGGAAGTGGATGAGCCCAACAGTGAGCCACTGTTCTTTTTGCCTCTTGTGTGTTTGAGATGTGCTGACTGCCAACTGAAGGGACTGGATCAGTGTCAGCCAGCGTTAGATTGTGCCAAATGCCTCCGCAGCAGCACATAAAATGTGGCTGGTTGCCTCGAACTGATCGCTGACTGCACTGAATTGGACTGCGTGCGTACTCTATGGACATGGCAGACTGTGCATGTTTTTAGTTGGTCTGTGTTTCTGTTTCGAGAAGGATCATTTTAGAAGTTGTTCTGCATCCCTTCATTGTACATAAGTATATTTATTTATTTATTTAACTATTTATTTAAATTAATTTGTGTATTATTTATCAAAGAAACATTTTTCAAAGAATTTTGTTTCATGTAACTTGCTTCAGATTTGGGCCTGAATAAGATTATGCTTTAATTGCTTGTCTCTGTTTTTTTATTATTATTTTCTGACATTTCATACCCCTAATTGAATAATGTGAAATAATGTACTTATACATTTAACAGACCCTCTTTTAGACACCAGTGACCACTAACATCATTAACACAGACTTTAATTTTTTAAAATCTTCATAATGCCCAAAAGGGTTAATCCCTATGTGCAAGTGTGTGTCAATTTTGTATCACTGTTTGGTCCAACATTAAAAAGGGACAAACAGTGGTTAGTGTCATGGTAATAAATATGGCATAAAAAATACTGAACATAATATACATACCTGTCATGTGGCCTGGTTTTATGATGAAGATTCTCTGGAAGCTTATTACTACAAGACTATTACACCCAAATATCCAAAAGTACTGTAGGTGGCAAGTGAACTTGAGGTTCTTGAAGATGTTTCACCTCTCATCCAAGAAGCTTCATCAGTTCTGACTGAGTGGTGGGGACCCCCATGTATTCAAATCAAATCAAATGTTATTTGTATAGCACCAAATCACAACAAAACTCATCTCAGGACACTTTACAAAGTAAGGTATAGACCTGACTATTATCACTATTATTACAGAGGGAAAACCCAACAAATCCCCCTTGAGCAAGCACTTGGCGACAGTGGGGAGGAAAAACTCCCTTTAATGGAAGAAACCTCTGACAGACCCCGGCTCTTGGTGGGCGGCCTTCTGCCTCGACCGGTTGGGGTGAGTGGATAGAGGAGGGAGAGGAGAAGAAAAGCAACAAAACAACAAACAATCAAACACTGGTCAGGTCGATGTGGCTGGTGACTGCTCATCAGAGACGTAGAGCTCCAGAGCCAGGGCTACCTGAAGAAAGGTACAGGGAGAGAGAGAGGACGCATTACGGGGTCTAACTATAAGCTTTATCAAAAAGGAAAGTCTTAAGTCTAATCTTAAAGGTAGAGAGGGTGTCCGCCTCTCGAACTGAGACTGGGAGTTGGTTCCATAGGAGAGGAGCTTGATAGCTAAAGGCTCTGCCTCCCATTCTACTTCTGTAAACTCTAGGAACCACAAGTAAACCTGCACTCTGAGAGCAAAGTGCTCTGTTAGGATGATAAGTCTCTACAAGGTCTTTAAAATACAATGGAGCCTTGTCATTAAGGGATTTGTATGTTAGGAGAAGGATTTTAAATTATATTCTGGATTTTACAGGGAGGAAGCAGAGAAAAGCTAATATAAGAGAGATACGTATGATCTCTCTTGCTAGCTCCTGTCAGTACTCTGGCTGCAGCATTTTGGATTAACTGGAGGTTTTTTAGGGAATTATTGGGACATCCTGATAGTAAAGAGTTACAGTAGTCCAGCCTGGAAGTAACAAATGCATGGACCAGTTTTTCAGCATCACTTTGAGACAGGATGCTCCTAATTTTTGCAATATTGCGCAGGTGAAAGAAGGCAGATCTAGAGACTTGGCTTATATGTGATTTAAAGGACATATTCTGATCAAAGATGACTCCAAGGTTCCTCACAGTAGTACTGGAGGCAAGAGCTATGTCATCTA